TTCATTATCTTGTAGGCAACTGGAAGGAGTGCTATGCCTCTGTAATTTTTTTGTTTTTAGTGTTAACTCTGAGCACGTCGACCCCTAATGGGTCCATTGTGCGCCAATTTCAGTTAGTCGTTTTTAATTAAAACGTTATTCTAGTCGCTTCCGCGTATCTAAGTAGGCTGGTTGGATTAAGCGACTCATAGCTACTGGGGAGATCTATTCGTTCTTCCCCAAATACTACCAGTCTCAGCCTTGTGAATCTTCTACATCTACACACGATGTGAAAGGCCGTTTCATTCTCCTCCTGACAGAATCTGTATAGCGGATTCGTCATGACTCGGAGATTGAACATATGGTAATTTAGCTTACAGTGACCTGTATAGATTGCTGTAAGTTTTTTAAGGGCTGCTCTGTCCATATTCAGTAGCAGTTTGCTTCATTTTCACATGGACCTTTAAGGAACAGCTTCGAATGTCGCTGTTTCTTGTCGGTCCAGTAATTACTAAATTTGTTCCCATACATCTCCCCGATCCTACCCTTGGCAATGCTGAGGCTGATTCCACAGACAGGCTCGGGAATTACAGGAATGGTATCTGAGTCCAATCTGGCTACTTCATCAGCCTCCCCGTTGCCTGGTATGCCCAAGTGACCAGGCACCCACTCCACTGCAACTCTATTGTGCTCAGTTAGTTCGTTAAGTGCTGTGTTGCATTTCTTAACGACCTTTGAATATACGTAGTAGTTGTTAATAGCACCTATTGCTCCCTGACTGTCGATATAGATGGTAATCTTTTTCCCAGTCACATTGCGTCGCAGTATGTTTTGTGCTCAATGGCAGATTGCCAGTATCTCAGATTGAAGTACCGAAGCATATCTGCCAAGTGGTATAGAAATTTTTTCTTTAATGTCTTTGCGATAGATGCCTGCTCCAGAGCCGAATTCTGTTAGAGAGCCATCTATATAGCAATTAATACCATTATTTGGTTTGTGTTGCCTGCTGCTGTCCTGATATTCTCGGATTAGAGTATCAGAGTGCATGTCTAGCACTCCTTCACGTCCAATCCTGTTCAGCATTACTTTGTGTCCTCCTTGACAGGGGACTGGTGAGCACTATGTTGACTTGCTTAGCCTGTATAATGTGTTTGTTGCCCGAGCCTCCACCTCCAGCTACAGCGGAGGCATGTTCAACATTACTTCCATGGCGGCCGTTGGTGTCGTGCTCATCGCACTGTTATTATTATACATTCAAGCCTTTGAATCTTTCCGTAATGAGGATGAGTTAGCTACAGTCTTTGCTTTGTGCTACCATAGCAGAGCTGATTAAAGTATGATAGGTCTGACTGTCATTGTGTATAGCCAGTTTTGGTTTGAGTCCCCAACTCTTTCCTATCGCTCTTTTACAGGCCCACAGGCATTTGAGGGCTTTACATGTCACGTTCTGAACGTGTTTAGTCCATGACAATTTTTGGTCCAAAATGACTCCAAGGTGTTTAACTTCCTTGCTCAATGTCAGTTGGATACCATTGATTTCCGGCATTTTGATAAATACATTTTTCTTCTTAGTGAAGATGCACACATTGATTTTCTTAGGGTTGATGCTTAGTCCATTAATCCTGCACCAATTCCTAAGAATATTAGACACTCTAATGAGGATATCAGAGAGGACACTCTGATGCTTTCCTCCTATTAGGATAGCAATATCGTCAGCATATCCTTGCGCATAAATGCCTGCAGTGTTTAGGGCTTCCAACAATGAGTCAGCCACAAAGCACCACAGTAGCGGAGAGTGCACACCTCCCTGTGGGCAACCACCACAGGGTTTAATCCACAGTTCCTTGTGCCCTATTTCTGATTTTAGGACTCTGTCCTCCAGCATTCTCCCAATCCATCTAGAGGACATAGAGTCTATATCTTTTTTTCTTAGAGCATCATTTATGATGTTGTAAGGAGTTCTATCAAAGGCACCCTTGATATCAACGAAGACACCTACCATGATTTCACTCTGTTCTAAGGATTTCTCTATTCTTGTTACCAAGTTATAAAGCGCCACCTCACAGGATTTCTCTGGTTGGTAGGCATATTGCTTTGAGTAGCCAATATATGTTCCCTAATATGTCTGTAAAGTATCTTTTCTAATGTCTTCATTATGAAAGATGACTGACATATTGGCCTAAATGCCTTGGGGTCTTCGTAGGACTCTTTTCCTGGTTTAGGAATGTATCGCACCTTGCATATCCTCCAATTACATGGTAGATATCCCAGTGCTAGGCTACCTCTTAGTAGTTCCAGAAGGTATGGCCTTATCTCTGAGAGACCCTTCTGCAGCAATGCTGGAAAGATCTCATTAGTTCCAGCAGATTTAAAAGGAGAGAATGAATTCACTGCCCATTCAAGTCTGCTGTTTGTAATCACTCTTCTTGCAAGAACCCACATACGTGCACCAGTACCACGATCCTGTGTATTGGGGTCGAGAGGTTCCGTTACTGTCATAAAACAACTTGGGAAATGAGCTTTTGCTACAACACTCAATGTTTCTATTTCATTGGTGGTGTATTTAGGTAGAGTTCCTAGGGTTAGTATGGTAGGGTTCCTCCATCAGACTCAGTTTTCACCTTGTCCTTTGGTTTCTCCCCACCGCTCAACCTCCCTTTCGAACCCCCACTAGTATTTGAGGAGTGCCACGAGACTGAGGTCTGGCCACCAGACTGCGGCAGTGGCTGGGATTCGCCTCTTTAGCCAGTTTTCACTGGTTCCTTTGGCTTGGGCCTCGCTTCCTGACCCGGCTGACGGCCTCGACCCCATCCTCGACACACTCCTTCTAGAAGAGGAAGATTCCCTGTTCTCCCTCTCCTTAGATGTGCCTGCTCTCGGCGCCTCCACCTGCATTTCCTCCTGAGCGGGCTTACTTCTTGACGCCAAGCGCCTGAAGGTTATGATGTAGATTCCACAGCAGGCCTGCATTCCATGTGAAGTGAGGCTTTGGAGGCTGGTCTCCGGTATATTGAATACTCCAAAGGATCCTCTTTCCAGAGCCTTGAAGTTGAACACGGTCCAGGTGTTGATTCCAGTTATAGATTGATTTTGGATCTGGAGCCGGTTTAAGTAGTATTCAGCAGATAGGGCCTTTCCTGGAAAGAAGGCTCCAATCCTGATGATTTTTGTTAGGTCACCTGCCTCACAAGCTCGTAGGGTTAAACCTTCCTTGATTGTGATGCTAGATGTTATCTTTTTGAACCATTCTACTGCATGGTCATCTAGACAGGATACAAGACATCCACCGAGCTTGAAAAGAGCCCCATCGAACTTTGGATGTATGTCTCCTCCTATAGTTAGTTTATCAATTTTACTGCTTCTTTTAATTCCTCGCATTGGTCATAGGTGAGTTGGGTCTGCGGGTAGTCCACAGGAACTACTGCGACCAACTGTCCTCTTGCAACCTTTGCATAATTTCTGGGCCTTTCAGCCTCCCTCGGTTTCTTAGTTGCTGTAGCTGAGGGTCCTAGGGATTTTCTTGCTCTTTTTTCTGCAGGCAGTCTTGATCTGGACCTCCACCTTTGAGGCCTCGCATTCTTAGCTGCTGGCCTGTGTGGCCTCGCAAACTTAGATGCTGGTCTCTTGGGTGTGTCCTTCTCATCCCCTGTCTGTGGTATTGGAGCTTTCCCCTCCAGCGCGGTAGCTTCATTAGCCAGGCCTTTTGGGGCCTTTGCATCCTCCACTACCTGCCTCTCCCTTCAGCCAGCATACTGTACAATGGGGTGTCGCCCGGTTCCCCTTGTGGGTTGATAAAAGACGGTATATTTTTATCCACCCTCTGACACTCAGCCTCAGCTCGTGTGCCCCGACCTAGCTTGGGTGCCTAACAGGTTCATCGCTTCCATCTCACATATATCATCCGCATATATATGGATGGAAACAGTGATCCCCGCCTCTGTCCTCCGCGAGTTCCATCGGACTCCCTGGGGGGCGCCACATGGAGGTGACAGTAGGCGTTGATAGGGATAAGGAGATCTGGGAACTCACAAGCAGTGGGTAGGGCACTACACTCAATTGCTCAGCAAAGAGTCGGGGAGATTCCCGCACCCATCTCCCTCTCTAGACCTCCCGTTACCCTACCCATTTGCCCCTCCCCCCCTGCCTCTATAATTATTACATTCATACATGGAGCCTTTCTTTAGGATAGGACAGATTAGGCCCGTATTCTAAACCTCAGATATCCTTTTCTCTTCCCATATTTTCTGGATTAGTTGTAGTAGCTTTGCTCTTAAGTCGTCTCCTCCATCTTTAAACAGTTCTGATGGTAGGTTGTCTATCCCTGGCGCTTTTCTTGTTTTGAATCTTTCCATAGCTATTTCTACATGCAGTATATCTGGTTTTTCAATCTTCTGGGTCAAGGTCCTCAGTGTGGTACATGTGTTCTTCGTTCTTGGGGTCCCCTTGATTGAGAAGTTTCTGGAAATGTTCTTTCCAAATATTCAATATCTTTTCTTTAGTTGCGGTCAGAATGCCATATTTTCCTTGCATTTGCGTATTTCTCTCTTTCTTTCTTTTCATTTATTAGATTAAAACAGGATTGTTGAGGTTTTGGTAATATTTGTTTTAATAAAACATATAAAGGAAATTAGCTATTTTCACATTCTAATAAAGTCATAAAATACTGTTTCCTAATTTTTAAATACTTTTTTTTTAATGTGTGCCAAAATTTGAGCCTAAGTTGTAGGTGTTAATCTAAATCTTAAGAAATTGAGATAATCATAATTTGAATGGGTGGAAAATGATTTCCTTCTCATTCTGTATAGGCTTTGATAAATAAAAAAAGTGAGAGCTAAGGAAACAAATAGCAAAAAAGTATGTAAATAAGAATTGTATTTACTTTTTTATATTATATATATTATATATTTACTTTTTTATATTATTAGTTTGTATTCATGCGTTTATCCACCTCCAAATTTTTGTTGGTTATGATTAATTTCCTTGTTTCTCATTTTAATAATTATGTTTTGTTTTTTCTGTAGTCTTGTGTTGATAATGCTGACTTTTTCATCTTTATTTTTTCCTTTAATGATGCACAAAGTTTTAATGAACTTCCTCAATTAATTAATAAATTTGTTACGAGTAGAGATAATCAACCAGGATCTATAGTTATTGGAACTAGGTATAGTATATGTCATATTTATATATGCTATATATATTGCTAGTATATGGCTTATTTATATATTGCAAATTACGTGTGTATTTATAAATAGTTTTTCTTTTTAATACTGCTATTTAATTGAGAGAAACTGAAAAATTCAAGATCTTTATCATATAAATATTATAGTTGCTAAAGTTAGTCTATTACCATTTTAGTTAGATTTTCTTCTTTGCTTAATATAATTTTTTTTAAATTTTGATTATGTTATTCACTGTTGCTTCCACATTTGACTCATCAGTTAATATATAACCAGTTTTAAAGTAGCTTATTGGTCTTTTATTTTATTGAATACAATTTTTAGACTCTAGCATTTTGCTAATTACTGCCTTAGGCAGCTTATCTGATATTCAATCATTATTTGGATCATTATTTTTTTTTAATATTAAACTACTCACACAAGGAATAAACATTCTTACTTATTGTGAGTGAAAACTCATTTATTAATTTATTGTTTATGAACTACTCTATCATATTGATATTGTTAGTAAACTAGTTTCCTCTTTTATTTGGTCTTATTCGTCAAGAATAATTAATATTTTTTTTTAGGAGTATGCTTAAAACTGAAGTTATGAAATCTGAGATAAAAGATTTTGAATCTAAGCAAAATATTGAAGTTTTGACTATTCAAAATAGTATTTATCATTCAGGTCCTTATGAAACAGTCAAAGTTGCTCCGCTTTTAAATACTATATGTGAAAAATTGTGGATGAGAGATCAACAGTACATTTTAAAACAAGGAATAAAAGTTTAAGGTATCTATTTATTTATTCACTTTTTTTCCCCTATTAGTATTTAGACAAGAATTATATTAACTTTTTAAGTATATTTTTTAAAAAGGTTATTACCATTTTTTAATGTAGTGTCTAATACTTTTCTTAATTCTTTAACATAAGATGTTCATTTTATAGTTTTAGCAATCATGAAAATAATTTATATTTATTGAACTAGAGAAAATTAATTTGAACTCAATTTTATGGCTATATATAATTTATTCTGTAACTGTTATTAAGTTTTAGGCCCTGTACACAACAGAACATCATCCTTCGCTACGATGCACGTACTAACCTTTCATTGACCTCTCCCTCTTTATTAGAATTTCAAACATCATGGAACATGTCCTCGTTGTTAATTGTTATCCAATTATTATTACTTTAAATTAAATTTATTTTATTAAAGGTAAATATTTCTTTAAAATCTAGAGAAATCATTTTTAAGATATTTTGAAGTAAATATGAATCATTCATAAATATTTGAAATTATAAAACACAAAAAATTAAATGATGTAAAAAAAACTGTATAAGAGAATTTGAGAATAATCAGAAAGTCAGAAAGTTATAATATAATTTTAGTAACAATATAGGAGATTATATACCCTCTGCCTATATATAGTACCCTACAACCCTACCCATCATACCCAGTTCTCGGAGTCCTGGCTTGATCTGTTTATCCTACATTCCTCGCTGCGACTTAGCACCCGGTTCCATTTCTGTCTTCCCATGATCTTATCCAGATTGACTCTATGGTAGAAACCCTTACTAATCATCTTCACGCTCTCCTCAATTGCAATGCTACCTTCCCTACATCCTGGAAAACTGCACTAGTTCGCCCCTTGAAGGAGACTTCCAACCCATCAACTCTTAATGATTTCTGTCCAATATCTCTCCTCTCAAACCTTTAGAGCGACTAGTTCAAACTCAGTTATCCCACTTTTTAGAACAGAATAACCTCCTAAATCCCTACCAGTCCGGTTTCCATCCTCTCTACTTCACTCAGTCTGCCCTCATCAAAATTTCCCAAGACCTTCCATACAGCCATGGACCAGCAGAAACTTACCATCCTTATTCTCCTTGACTTCTCCAAAGCCTTTGACACAGTAGACCTCAAAATCCTCCTAACCAAGCTTAAAAACATCTCCTTTTCTACTAGTGCCTTTAAATAGTTCCTATCCTTTCTTACCGGTCACTCCCAATATGTTGTAGTACCTAATAACTCCCCATCAGAATATTTACCTTTGTCCAGGGGTCTCCCTCAAGGCTACTCCTTATCTCCCACCCTTTTTTCCATCTACATCAATGACCTCCATTTTCTATCCTTCACTGTCAATACCATCTGTAAGCCGACGACGTTCAGATTTACCTCTCCTTCAATCCGACTGATTCCTCTGATGCCATTCAAAAACTAGAGGTATAAATATAAATGATTAATTTATTTAATATATTATATTAATATAAATGATTAATTTATTTAATATATAATATTAATATAAATGGCCATTTATATTAATATAAATAGCTAGAGGTATAAGATATAAATGGAATTTGTGTTTAGGCAAACCGCAATCGGATCACTCTAAATGCCAAGAAAATGAAATCCATTCTAATCGGATCTCCCTCACTCCTCAAACCCTTACCGACACTCTCCAATCTTCTCCTAAACAACTCATCTATCTCATTCCATACTTCCCAAATTTCACGCCACACTATCTCCACCCTGAAACAGTTCGACTGTCTGCGCTATCTCCTTCCATACAAGTCCCGTCAACTCCTTGTTTCCTCTCTATTATTCCCCAAAAATCAAATAAGCAAGCAAAACAAGATAAATCTCCACCGAGAACTAGGAGCAAATCTAATGCCACTCATTCAGGGCTAACTGCACCAAACACATCAGAAAGGAAAAACTCAATTCTAGAAAACAACTTATCTCACAAGACTCCGCAGCTTCAAGGTTTTTCTGATCCTGAGCTGCCGCCAATATTTGTTTCAAAAATTAAGAACTTTATGTCGTTTGGTCCACAAATTGCAGATTTGATCGGACAGCCAAATTTTCGATGTTACTCGAGAGTGGACGACATTAAAATCAATACTAATTCTAGAGACAATTATAAAAAACTGATCAATTTTTTAACAACCAATAACTACGACTTCCATTGTTACCAATTAAAACAAGGAAAGGCGTATCGAGTGGTCCTGAGAGGACTACATTCAACCAAACCCATATCTGCTAACAAATCGGGCCTTGAAGAAATCGGTCATAATGTCAGGCACATAGCACCTGTGCTACATCCTAGAGAAAGATATCCGCTACCATTATTTTTCATAGACTGGGAACCAGCAAAAACCAATGTTGAAATATTCCAGGTTCAATGATTAGTTTACTCAATAGTCCGTTTTGAGGAACCGAAACAGAAGCCTCTAATTGTACAATGCACTAAGTGTCAAAACTTGGGGCATACAAAGGCCTATTGTTATCACGAAGTCAGATGCGTTAAATGTGCCGGCCTACACACTTCAGACACTTGCCAGAAGCCAAGAGATGAGCCTGCGACGTGTGCTCTTTGTGGCGAAACCTATCCTGCGAACTACAGAGGCTGTGAAGTATATAAAAATCTTTAAAACAAAGATCACGAAACTCAGCGGTGAAAAATCTTGGATCTGCTCAGAAAACTTACACTGAGGCACCTGAAATTGAAAATCGGTAAATGTTCCCAGCAACTTCCCTCGTCATCCAACAACAATCATCCATCTCTACAGCTAAGGACTCACCTCACCAGAATCGCAGAAATTCTCACTCCCAGTCTTTCATCAGTAAGAAGCAGCCTCAATGTCAGGCGCCTCAGGCCTTCCAACCCAAGCCCAAAATCTCTAATCCTCAGCCTCAACCTCCTCGTCAGCAAATCCCCTCCTCATCATCTACCCTTAAGAGTCAAACTCACACCAGAGCATCCACATCCAGCTCCATTCGTTCCTAATCCCAGGATGAACCCCCCTCCACAAGTCCAACAGAATTTAGATCCTTCTCCTCGTACACCACAACGGGTCCATCCCCCACCCAACATTCCTAGTCGCATAACTTACCCATCACAACCTCCTGATTCAATCGCGCTTTATTGCTGGAGGAGACTACAATGCCAAACACCAACGATGGGGTTGTCGATCATCCAACTTCCGTGGTAATACCCTTTCACGAGTTTCTTCTTCCAACAATAATTACATCCTCTCGCCCATGAATCCTACTTATTTTCCAACATCCCTCAAAAAACGTCCCGATATCCTGGACATATTTATCACCTCCCTGATTTCCTCCTCCCAAGCCATTATCAAATCCCTGAATGACCTTTCATCAGATCATAGTCTAGTTCTACTTTTACTACATTCAAACCTTGCTCTTAAACCCTTACTTCCTAACTTGATTACAGGACGAGTAGACTGGGACAAATTTCGCGATGATCTGGAAAATAAACTGGACTTAAAAATTCCGCTCAAGACAAAACAAGATATTGACATAGCCATAGAAAAACTTACCACATCAATAACAACTACTATAAATGATAACACTTCCATCAATAAAAGAAATAACTCACGACATATTAACTTGCCTCGAATCTTATTAAGGGAAAAACGCAGAGCAAGATCAAAGTGTCACAGGACTAGATATCCTTCAGATAAAACATACTATACTGAATTGACTTACAAACTAAAAGCAGAAATTAGAAAATTTAAAGCTCAAAAATTACTTAACCTAACTGAAAAACTTACAACCACTGACAAATCACTATGGATGACCACCAAAAAACTTCTCAAGTTTCAAGACTTTAATCACCCACTACTTACTGAATCCCAAATCTGACAAAGAAAAAGCCCAAATATTTGATCAACATCTGTTCCAAACTTTTAAGCCACATCCCGATATCCTTAATTCAACTCACATCGATTGTATTGAAGCAGAACTGGATATTCCTCTCCAAATGTCCCTGCCACTCAAAGCATTTGATCCCACAGAAATATCCAACATCATTCAAAAATTACCCTTCTGTAAAGCTCCTGGACATGATCTAATTACATCCCAGGTCCTAAAACTTCTTCCTCAAAAAGCCATCCTATTTCTTACATATATAATGCTGTACTCCGTTCCACATATTTTCCTGATCCTTGGAAACGATCTATTGTTAAAATGATCCACAAACCCAAAAAACAACCAGAATACCCATCCTCTTACCGTCTTATCTCTCTTTTACCCATCATGGGCAAAATCCTGAAAAACTCATCTTAAAACGCCTGTACCCTATCCTAAATTCTAAATACATAATCCCAGATCATCAATTTGGATTCCGCACTTCCCATTCCACTATACAGCAATGTCATCATGTGGTAGACGTAGTCTCCTCTGCATTGGAGCGCGGAATGTACTGTATGGGAGTCTTTCTCGACGTTGAAGAGGCGTTTGATAGAGTTTGGCACCCGGGACTGCTGTACAAACTCCGAAAATTCCTACCATCTACATACTTCCTTATTATCGGTTCCTACCTTACTGATAAATACTTTAAAGTAAATTACAAAAACGCCTATTCATCCCTTTTTTCCCAGTCCGCTGGTGTTTCTCAAGGTAGCATCCTAGGTCCTATCCTTTACACAGTTTATACAGCTGATATCCCAACCCATCCTAACACTGTCATTACCACTTATGCCGATGATACATGTGTCCTATCAGTTAATAACGATCCAACAATTGCATCCCAAACCCTTTAATCACACATCACAAACTGTGAAGAATGGTTTCAAAACTGGTGGATAAAAATAAATTCCAATAAATCCCATCAAATTATCTTTACCCTTCCTCGTAAACCAATGACTTTCTGTCCTACAGTTTCCTTTAACAATACTCCACTTATCCCTGTTGAGCAAATCCGATACCTAGGACTCCACCTGGACAAACTACTAACTTGGAATCCTCATACTAGACTGAAACGACAAGA